TTAGGCAGCTTTGTGTCCAAGTCCAGTATCCTAAAAGATGGGCTGAGGATACAGGATCTCAATACAAACGTCAACATTTCTCCTCTAAACAGCCAAAATGGAAATGAAAATACTGTTATGGTTTGGGTCTTGATGCCCCCCCCGCAAATCCTCATGTTGTCATAGGTGGATGAATCTAAAGTGTGTGATGCTAGGATTAAGGGGAGTGTGACTACTAAGCCACTACACAAAAGTGATCACTCTGACACCACCCTAATCCCATTAGTCTGAATAAGAAAAAAGGAGCAGAAAGACACTGTTAAGGTCCCTTGTTGCTTTTGCTATGTTCTGCTGCCATGAACTGTCACCCCCTGCCACCCGGCCTTGGAGCCAGATGATTGTAGACTAGAACATCTACAAACTAAGCCAAGTAGACCTTTCCCTCGTTAAATATGGTTGTCTGGTGTTTAGTCTCAGCAATGAGAGAAAAGTAACTCACACAAATGCCAAAGAGAAAAATCATCCCATTCAATCCAAAACAGTGAAGGAAAGTTATAAAACAAAAGCAGAAATAATTAGAGAAAGATAAAATTTTACTGAAGAATTTTTAGATTTCTGGATGAAAAAACTCAGGATTTAAAAATACTCATTCTTCACAACTTAATGGATAAATGCAAAATGTTTCCAAACTCCAAATAGCCAAGTTTTTAAGTGAAAACCTGGTAAATTAGTTCTGAAGTTCTTCTGTGATAAGGCATACAAAAATAGCCAAAATTAAATGTTCATGAAAGAACAGTGACACTTGCCCTAGAAGTTATCAAGATATACTATAGAAAAAGCTGTAACAAACAAAAATGCTGTGCAGTACGTATAGATCAAAAGAGAAAATAATTTAAAAACAGTAAGATGACCCCATACCAACTCATTATCAATTCATTATGTAATGAACAGTCTGCTTAGTAAATAAAAAGATTATTCAATAAATTATGTTGGAGGAATTAGCTATCTTTTGGGGGAAAATAATTAAATATTTTTCTTCACAAGATGCTCAGACTATTAAAGATCTTAAGGCTTCAACACAAACGTATTAGGAGAAAATACAGATGAAAGCTTTGCCATCTTTGCTATGTTTAGGCCTTCTGATTTTTTTAAAAGCTGGCATTACATAAATGATTGGTAAATATGCCAATATTCAATGAATTTGCATTTAATTCAGTTAAATGAAGAATATATGTAAAACAAAAAGAAAATGTGAAAGATGGGAGAAAATATTTGCAATATAGACCTTCAAGTTTCAGTAACCAGAGTACACTAAAAATATCTAAAAATCAGTGATTACAAGGAAAAACTAGAGCCAGAAATGCCAGCTGCCTTTCATAAAGAAACATCATATATGAAAATATGCTCTTCACTAATATTTCCTCATATTCACCAAAAGGTCAATTTAAACCATTTCTTGCATGTTTGTTTGGCAGAAATTTCAGCCTGGTTATATCCAATGATAGGAAATTTAAAAATGATTTTATGCACTGTTAGTGAGGCTATGACTTTTTCAGAGGGCTATTTCACAGTATGGATTTTAAGTAAAAATAGCATATCCACTGACCCAGCAATCATGTTCAGGTCCCCAGCCTAGAGGAAATAACTATAAATATTTACAAACAGGCTTACAGAAGGGTGTTCAGTATCATCATCATCACTATTATATTATTATTACTATTATTTTATGATTACCACCAGCAGCACCAGCAGCCCCAAGTCTAAACCTCAATGTCTATTAGTGAGTGATTCTATCAACAATGGTGTGGTCAGGCAGTAGACTCTCATGTTACTCTTGAAAACCGTGAGGCTGATTTTTATATACTGATAGAAAGCTCTACAATAGTTTGAAGAAAGAGGAGGTGCAGAACACATGAGTATGATCTTCCATGTGAGTGTATGTATAAAACAAATAAATATAGAAAACATAAATTCTTACATAAATATAAGAAAGCTACAAGTTCCTAAATGCACTTGTGTCTGCCAATGTACGCACCAAGGTTGGGATGGTAGGTGTCACTTCAGAACAGAGAAAAGGGCGGGATGGTGGCATGGTTTGCATGGAATCAAACCACATGTTCACTTGCCCTTTGCTATGAGTGCTTCTATTGGATCCTGAGGTTTTAAATCTCTGAATCTCCCTTCACAAAAATGACTTTGTAAAGCTGTTATAATCTCCATCATTGCTTTGATAATTTTATTCTTCAATTAGAAGTTTTTGTGATGCCACATACTTGCAAGGAGGGTGTAGTGAAATCAATAATGGAGTTAGCTATCACCTGGAAACATTGATTGAAGTAGACCCTCATGGGGGCAAAGGGATATTAAAAGGCAATCATGTAGAACAGATAAGGTTTTGTCACACACATTTTCTCAATGATTTTATATTCAGTATAAATTGAATTATATTTAAGAGCCTTGATTGTTGCTTACCTAATTGTCTTGATTTCATGTTTTCTTGCTCTGTTTAATAATGGCGATATAGTCTGTTAGTTCATTCATGGAAACTCTTTCCTCTCTGCCCACTCTACTGTAGCTTCAGTTCAATTACATTATGTATGTGTAAACCGGGAAAAAAGAAAACAGGACCTTTTCTGCTACCCAGAATAAGATGTTTCTAGAAAAATAATCTTGTGCCCTTATATTATTCCCTGTCTCTCCATCAAAATGGAGAATCAAACAAAAATTGTCTAGCATTTGGGACTTTGGGGAGGGGCAGTGTTCATTGCTTGTTTCATTTTTTCAAACCTAGGACTCCTTCCTCTTTGTCTTCCTTTCAAGCCCCCCCCCAAAAAAAAGGCACGTTTCTGTTATTTCCTCCTCAGCTGCCACAGATTACTTTCAGAAGAAGGTAGAGGGTAAATGAGGCTTGTGGATATTCTCACACACTGCTATTTCCATTCAATTGTTACTAATCCATACCACAGCACCTCAGTATCAATAATTCATACCTATGAAAATGATGGGGAAATTGGTTATTCAATTTCAGGGATTCAAATAAATTCGTGTTCTTCACTTCTTCCTTCTTCCACTGGCCTTCCTTTTCTTATTCTCTCCCCCTCAACCTTGAAGGCAGTTCCGAAAAAGAGAATATGAAACGGCTTTGATGTTGGCCGCACCACTTCTTGGATGTGGAATGTGAAACGAATGTCGCCCATCTTTCTACACCTTGGAATCTTTGTCTCCAGCCCTGGACTTCTCTCCCTCAAGGTGCCCTTTCACGGGCGACTTGTGAGTTGGATTGAGGCTGAAAATCTGAAAGGAACTGCTGTTCCATAAAGGTTAGTGCTGCTTTTTCTTTCTTGAGATATTAATTTCATGAACTCCATTTCCAATTGTAAAACTGTGAAACAGGAATTAGGTCCATACATGAAATTTACATATCAGCAAGCATAGAGGTGCAGTCTATCAATTAAGATCCAGGTATGCACAAACAAATAAATTAAATTTACAAAATAAAAATACCTAGGCAATAACAAGATACATGTGTACATAATACAAAAATTTAATGAATGAGCTTTAAATACCTAGGCAGCAATTTCAGCACTTTTTTGAGATCAGAAGTATGAGGAAAGATAAATGAGAATCTCTAGTAGTGAGCAATCAGAGATCATATCCAAATCTCTAACAATAATAATGATAATGATAATAATAATGAAAGCAACTATCTGGGCATTGGCAATAGCAGGTGGTTTGGGGAAGGAGGTTAAAAAATTAAGGAGAAAACCCTAGCAAAAGTGTGTACTGTAGAGAGTATTTTCTTTTATCTCTTGGCTTTGAGCTAAATGTGGAACTACCCAAGGCTACAGGCATCAGAAAATCAGGGAGAAAATTATCTGTCAGTCAAATAATCAGAAAAATGAGTATCTGCGAGCAAATGTTTAAAGAGCTCCATATTTGTTAATAAAATACTACTTAAGATTAATTTTATATTATAAAAAAGTTGCAAAGACAGTCTGAGTGATCATACATGCCCTATGTGCAAAATGCCCTACTGTTAATATCTTACATTCCCAGGTTCACTTGAGGAGACCAAAAAGCTACTGTTGGTAAACTATTATTAACTCCAGATCTCATTTGGACAGTGTTTTTTTTTCTCTCTTAATGTAATTTCTCTGTTTCAAGATTCAATCCAGAATACCCTGTTTAGTCATCACATCTTCTTCTATGTCTCTGGTCTGACAGTTTCTCAGTCTTCCCTTGGCTTTCACGGCCTTGAGCGTTTTGAGGAGTGGTTCTTGTATATTTTATAAAATGTCTTTTATGTTGAGTTTGTCTGAAGTGTTCCTCACATTTCCACTGGAGTGACGGATTTCAGGAAAGAATATCAAACAGGTCAAGTGCCCTTTCCATCACCCTCTGTCAGAGGCACATGCTATTGACAAAACTTATCGCTGGTGGTAACCTTTGTCACCTGGCCACAGTACAGGACTGATCATTAGATTGAAAGGAAGCCACTGAGTCTCACAGGTAAGGGGAGTGAAAGAAGAATCCACCTTCCATTATTTAAAATTCTTTTCAATGGATTTGTCTCTCTTTTGGCATTTATTCATTTACATATGTCCGGTGGGTGATTCCAGTCCTGGAGCTACTTTTAGGTGGTGACGGTGGCACCTAAAGCCAAAGATAAAAATGAGCGTTTCTGGCTAAAGAAAATGGGCAGACCCTATGATCTAGAGCGGTGGTGACTCATCTATGGCCAGGATACCACAGTGGGCTGTTTGCATCACTGAAAGCTGTAGAAAATGGGGAGAATCCCCATGACTGCCCTTCCTTACTGCTCCAGGAGACAACACAAAACTACTCCATTGTGCGTATGCCTGAACACCTACACACAAGATTTCTATATAGAGGATTAGTTAAAGGGATTCCCAGAAGTCACCAGCAGTGGAGGAAATGATACGGAGTGGAGAAATGAAAAGGGGGGTCTCTTAAGTCTGGGTGTGAACTGACACAATCCCCAGACTCCTGCTGAGCCGCTCATGTGTGGGGCAGATGAGCATCAGGAGAACAGAGACTCTGACATTGGGATGAACACTGCGCCTGGCCACAGAAAGGCGGGCAAAACCTGCAGTCTGAATATGCCAGCTCCAATGTCTGTGGAGATGAAAGAGCTGGTAATCCCCAGACGGTTTCAACAGGAACACAGCTCATGGCATCCAGAGTGTTCAGATGAAATCTAAAAGTACTCAGCATTTTACAGTATTACATATGAGCAATTCTCTAGGGAAAAGTAGTCAGATATAGACTCAAGATAGCTGAGGTACTGACATTCTTTCACGGTTCTTAAAACAGTTCTGGTGGCTGTGCTCAGTAAGATATAGACACTTCTGAAATGAAGGGAACGATAAATATTTTGGTGCAGAAATAAAATCAACTTAAAAGTGATGACTTTAGAGTTGAAAAATAAGATGTCTGCAATAAAATTCTACTTGGTGGTCTTAATAATACAATGAAAGTGGCAGAAAAGAATCCAAGAACTTGAACATAGATGAAGAGACTTTGCCCAGTTTCTATAAGAGAGAACAACGGGTTGAAAAAATTAGCCTCAGGGACCTATGTGAAAATTATGAAAAAATATGAAAAGATCTAGTCTTCTGGCGCTGGAGTTCCAAACAGAGAGGAGAAAGAATGCAAGGCAGAATTGAGGACATTGTTTCCAGAAAATACAAATTTGGTAAAAGATATACATTTTACCAGTGTGAGATTTTTGTTTGTTTGTTTGTTTGTTTTGTTTTTTGAGACAGGGTCTCACTAGGTAGTTGAGACTGACCTGGAACTCACTATGTAACCCAGGCTGGTCTCAAACTCACAGCTCCTCCTGTTCTCACTAGGTAGTTGAGACTGACCTGGAACTCACTATGTAACCCAGGCTGGTCTCAAACTCACAGCGATCCTCCTGCCTCAGCCTCCCAAGAGCTGGGATTACAGGCGTGTGCCACCTGTGTAAGAATTGAAGAAAAGGGGGTTTGGCTCAGTGGTTCCACCACTTGTCTCACAAGTGCAACAGCCTAAGTTTAATCCCTGGTACCAAAAATAAAAAAAAAATAAAAATTGAAGAAAAACCCACAAAGAACAAAATCAAAGAAAACCAAACCCACCAACATTCTATGCAAGCTGCTGAAAACTAATGAGAAAAGTCGTGAAAGCAGACAGAAAAAGATGCTAAAAGGAGCAATAACTTGGAGGACTGCTGAATCCTTGGCAGATACCAAGGTTTTCAGAAGACAATGTGATACATCCGCAGAGGGCTGACAACTGCTAACCTAGCATTCTAGATCAAGTAAAAACAGCCATAAGTAATCACGGCAAAATAAAATTGTCTGATAATGGAAAACTAAGAGAGCTCATCACCAGCCATTTTTCTCTAAATGCTAAAGGACATTCTTCAAACTCAAATGTTACCCTGAGGGAAATGGGAACTTCAAGAATAAAGAAAGGGCATAGAAATCATAAATATCCTGGTAATTATAGAGACTGTGTATACTGACTGTCTCAATTCGAGAAGTTTGGTTAAGGGAAGCCCGGCTAAAACTGCTCAGCAATTCTGCTCCTTGGGGCTGAGAAGATTCACCCTAAGGCCACTACCCTAGGGTGGTTCCTCACCTGGGTGTTATAAAAGGGAAATGAAGAAGGAAGCTGTTGCTTCTGTTCTTTCAGAGGAGCTCCAGTCTTCCCTTTGGACATCATCTCTTGCCTTCTAGCGCAGACTCTTCTGTTTCTGGCCCAGATCTTTCAGCCTTCAGCCTTCCAACTTAGACTCTTCACCTTTCCAGTGCAAACCTACTGGCCTCCTGTTACAGGGACTTACATGGGACACTGCAGTGAGCTCCAGGCCTTCGACTAAATCCTTCTGTCTCCAGCATAGAGAGAGACCCTCTGTACTCTTCCTCATCTGACTCTGTGGGTGCCCACTGGAAGCCAACCTTGTAAGTTCATATATATTTGTATATCTTGTGTTATATCTGCTGCTCTAGTAAATACTGACTGATACACTGGGTCTCTTTTGAGTTTGTTCAAATACACGTAACTATTGAAAGCAAACAAGTAAAAATTTTCTGGTGGAGTGTTGAATGTATGCAAATGTAATAAAAATGACACTTATGATGACATAAGATTAGTGTGGATAATAATTCTTAGACCAACCACTGAAAATATATAAATGAATATTTATAGAAATAAA